CACCACAGCCCCTACAGCTCCTATAGTACAACATCCTAACGCACCACGGTCCCTACAGCCCCTATAGCACAACACCCTAATGCACCGCGGTCCCTATAGCCTGCGGGATGGCTGCGGGAGCGGGGTGGTGGGGAGAGCTGCCCTGCTCCAGGTGAGCCCAGACCCCTCCTGCCTTCTGCCTCTGCCCCGGGGTTGCAGCTGACCTCAAGTAATTAAGCTCATCCGATGGAGCTAATTATGGCCAGTCATAAAAAAAAAAAAAAAAGGAAAAAAAGGGCAAGATGGAAATTAATGGATTTTTAGCCCTGAAGGGACGGTTCTGGCCTGATGCTCAGCGCAATGTGCTCAGGGAACGGCTCTCCCGGCCCGAGCAGGGACCCAGCGGCCCTGCAGAGCCCTCGCTGGCACCACGGCAAGAGCTGCACACCCCCCACCCCAGCGCCCCTCGCTGCAGGGCACCTCCGTGGGCACGGGACCCTCCGCTGCTGAGCACGGGACACCCGCGTACCCCGGGCCAGTGCAGGATGCTGGCGAGCTCGAAACGACAGACCCTGCGGTGTGAGGGGGGGGACTCCGAGTGCTATGGGGGGGGGATCTCTGCCATTTCTTGCCCGCGGCCATTTTGGCCACACCGGCTTTGCCGGGGGGTGTAGCCGCAGCCCGGGTGGGCAGCTGCGGCGGCGGCGGGGAGCCGAGCTGCCCAGCGAGGGGGGGAGCGCGGTGGCTGCTCCGTCCTTGGCCTCCAGCAGACCATTAATGAGCCGACTCCGAGGGAATTGTTTTTTATTGCTCTGCCTCGCTAATGACTTATCCTGCTATAAGATAATACGTTAACTGACAACTCAGCCCCCACATCCTGCCTCCCGCCCCTGCCACCGGCTGGTGTTGACGTGGCACGGCAGCCCCCGGGGCGGCTCTGCTTCCCCCCTCCCCAACCCCATTGACAGCACTCGCAGCCCTCCCGGAGTAGGTGGGACCTGATCACAGTCACCAAGGCTGTGGCTCACCCTGAGCGTGTCGGGACCTGACACTTTCACGCAGCTTCATCCATCACCGTGGAGTCTAAAATGGGTGCCCAGATCCCTGCTTCGCTGGAGATGCTTTGGGGGAGGCCCAATCCTGCCTTGCTGGGTGCCACCCTGGGATGAACAGTGCCTGGACCTATCTGTGCCAGTGTCTACATCGACAGTGTGGATGTCCCTTGCTGTCACGGGGGAACACGTCAGCCCACCAAGCGTTGCCCCGCTGTCCATCCGGAGGAGGGGGAGACATGGGGCTGCGGGCGCTGCCCCAGTCCTGGGGGCACGCAAGGCTCCGGCTCCCCGGCTGCC